CCCCAAAACCCCAAAACCCCTTAGTCTGAACTCATTATCAAATTAAATTTTAAAGATTTATATAATTAAGAGATATATTCCAAAAACTTATATAATTGAAATCTTATTAAAATTAGCTCATTAGTTGTGCTTTTGATCATCGCCTAAATTTAATTGGTCAATATCAAAACTCCTTATTCTATTATTTTTTAATTTGAAATTAGAGTTACTCTCATTAGGGAATATCTCTTAAAGAAGCCTAGTCACTGATTGATGAGGCTGCCTTCTTCTTTTAATTGATCTCTCTGAGAAGTGGTTTATTAAGTAAGAACTCTTATTTATTCATTTTCTTTTTCTCCTTAGCCTTCTTTGATTCCATTTGATCCTAAAGGAATTTAGCATTTTCATTATTTATTGTTTTGATCTTCTAGTTTAGACGTCTTTCCTCCTCCTCATAGTTATCTTTATCTTACTTCCACATCACAGCCTGTTCATCATTCAGAGCCTTTTCCATCCTTTCTCTGTTAAGTTTATCCTCCATTTGCTTTGAAAGGAATTTTCGAGTCTGTATCTATTATGTTTTAGCCATTTCAAATCTTCTTTAATCTTCTAACCTCTCTCTGAGTTCTTTTTCCATTTCATATTTTCTTATTTTCATTTCTTCCTCATTAGCTTTCTGATCCATTTGTTTTATTACAGTATCAGCCATTCTGTTCATGAAGTCCTATGCTCTTTTTTCCCTTGCCTAGATCTCCATAAGTCTGTCCTACTCTTATTTCTCAAGCATTCGGCTGTATTCCTTCTAAGCAGAGATATCTTCAAGTTTTTCTTACTCTCTAAGTTATTTTAGTTTTTTCTGATTCTTTTCGTTTTCAATTAACATCTTTTGCAGATAGTCTCTTTCTTATTTTCTCTTTTCATATATCATCTATCTTTCCTAGTCCATTTCCTAATGAAGTCTGTTTACCAGCTCAACTTCTTAGCGGAACTATTCTTTCTGCTCGAGTTTTTTTCTTCTATGTTCTTCATTCATCTATTTGTCACGACTAAATTTTTCTTAGATTATTCTTTATTTCAATTCTTTTAAATCTCTCTTTCTTCTAAGAGCTTCAGATGTTGTTTTTAAAGCTCCTCATACATCTTATCTTCCTCCTTTTCTTTGTGTTTCCTGATATTCTTTTCCCCCATTTACTTATCTAGCTCCTACCTAATTAATCTCTTTCTTTCCTGTTCTCTAAGTAGTGCTTTTTTCTACTCTTCATAGTGAAGTAAAGTATTAAATTTCATGATGGCTGTCCATTCATCATCCTCATCTATCTCAGAATAAACTTCTGTTCTAGGTTTCTAAGAGGATGTAACTGAAGGAGCAGCTGACCTTCAAGATTAAGAATAAGTCTAAGGTCTAGCAGCTCCAGAGCCCTTTGAGACTCCTGATATCTTAGATGAGGCAACTGAACTGCATCTTTATTGCCAGAGAGACCACTTTTTCTAGAAAGAGCACCTGAATTATGGGATAGTCTCTCTGGATCTTACTTTTAGCTCTGTCTACTAGCCTGGATATTCTCCTTTTTATCCCTTATTAGAGTCTCTTTTAAAATTTTGTCATCCAATTTTTTAAGATTCTCTTCAGTGAGTCTATCATTTTTTAGAAACTTTGCCACTTCATTGTCTATATATTTTGCCACACTTGGCTTATTACCATATTTGACTTTGAATTTATTAGACAAGAGGCCCTTCAACTATTCTCTCTTCTGAATATCTACAAGTCTTTCTTTTCTTGATTCACTCATTATAGATTTTTGTGAATGATTAGCAACTGACTTAGGTGTTTAACTTGACATCTTCAATGATTCAGGTTAATAACTCAATAAAGCTCTGATCTTATTTATGAAACTTTGAAATTAAAAATTATATCTACAACTTTTGCAAAATAAATTAAATTTATTTAAAACAGGTTGTGCATAAATATTAATATTCTATCAAAAAATCATGAGAGCTACTAATTTAATGTACAGATGTCCGAAGGAATAAACTCCCGACCCCTACTATATCACTGTATTAATTGTTAACTTAGCTATTTAGGTTACCAATGATGGATAATCATTAGACCACACAAGAAATTATCATTGCTCAAAAACATTTAGCTCAGCGCCTAGATTCGTGCTTTATAAGGTAATTTATAATTATCTTAGCAAGCTTATATTAGTAAATGGCTTCAAGAACAGGTCCATGTGTGGGTCCAGGATCATATGGTGTTGGAAAAGCCATATAAAAATTGAAGTAAAAACCTTGTATGGCAAAGTTTTCACAAACATTTATCTAAGACGAGGACTGCTACGAAATTGTAAACAATATTCGAGTGCTGCAGCCTAAATATCTTAAGGGAAAAGATAAGAAATTATATGATAAAAATATCGAGTGTTTCTAAAGGAACAGATTGCTCAGAAGAATTAGCGAGACATACGTTCACCAAAGAAGCATTGCTGATTAACAATATGAGAAGTCAGGCGAGTAATCTCACCCAACTAGATCAAGAAATAACCTCCATGATGAGATATCTGTAGATTATCAAATGCTAGAAAGACCTAGAACATAATAGAATATTTATAACGGCGGAGGTAGATAAAGAAGCAAATTTGTTTAGTCGCAATATTCAAAGTTCCAAACATTGAACCAAGAAACTCAACTTGAAGGAAATGACTTAATAGTTGGACAAAGGAACAATATTATGGATATAAGGTCTATGCAAAATGTAAAAGCTCAGAGAGCAGAGAGTTCTTAAAAGCAAATGCATAATCATACATATAGTTTGATAGATAGAAGCACTCTAATGAATGGATCTACCAATGCTTCGTTTGAATAATATGGGAAAAATTAATCGCAAACTACTGGCCTTTCTTCTATAAAATCTAAATCTAAAAATGGAAGTGAGTTTGGGATAAGAATCAGAAATCAATCAAGCATAGGAAACAGGAAAAGACTTGATAAAAACAAGAAATACATCAGAAATATCATTGACAATAACTTATATGTTGACGATGCTCAAAATTACAATACAAGTGCTAACTTTAAAATAACACCGTAAATGAATCTTTAAAATGAACCAAAGAATAGAAATCAATATTCAAATCAGCAGCCTTTTTTTGAGGAAATAGAAGTTAATCTCAATCCATAACAATACAAATGAGATGCAAAATGATTAAATTCACATCCATAATAGTCAGAAAATATTTATTTTTTACGAAGTAAGCTCTTTATTACAATCATAGTTAATTGATGCATTTATATAATTGTTAACCATTAATCCTTAAGATTATTATATCACTGCATTAATCAATCAATTTATCACTTTAAGTTAATCTTATTAAGTATTTCTTGCGCTTCTTCTCCACCATTTTGAATTAAGATATCTTTTAGATCTTGTATTCGCTCTTTTGCTGCTAAATCTTGCTTCTTCTTGAGAAGCTATAAGACTACGGGTAAATGCTTATTCAAGGCTGGTCCAAAGTTATTAGATGCATTTCTAAGGTAAGTTAAATAAATTTGATTACTTTAGATTTTCAATAGCAGCTATGAAGATTGCCTTATTAGATGATACAAGACATTTCTACAAAAGCTGTACATTAGTCTTCACCAATTAAGCTAGCACAGAATTCTCATCGATAATTGTATTAGGGTCAATAAACAAACTAAAATTATTCATGAAGGTAAAGTTTACCTAGTTTCAGAGGAAACATTAGCTAATGATTTTTGAGAGACAGTGCTCATTGTGGATTTTGCTGTCGATATTCTAGATTTGTCAAATTCATTATTCATGCTGATACTATTCTCATTTATTTCACATTTCTTCTCAAAGTTAAACTATAATTTTTCCTCTTCATTTTTCAAAGGCTATTCTTGAACTTTCTATTTTTTTACTTTTTTAGGTTTCATTGTGCCCTAGAGTGGCTTAATCAACTGTTATTAGACTACATCCTAACTCTTTTATTCCTGCTCACTAGTCATCATGTGCGCAAGCTAACTATCTAGCTATATGTGAGATAAAGGTTAAGAAATTCTACCTTTGGCAACGTCTTATTTTTTAGTTTTGGCATACCGTAAACTGTAGGAACTCTAGGCACATTTGGAATTTTATTATTGGTGTTTCTAATTCTGAATGAGGTAGCGGAATCATTTAGAGTGTCCATTGAGAAAAGAGGGTTTTTGGAGATAGTTTTATTGTTTTAGAGTTGCGATGAATTGGCTCCTTATTTAAAACTTGACTCCATTGTAAAAACAAAGAATATATTAGAAGAATTAATAATTTTATAATTTAAACACATATTATATAAATAGTTAACTAATGAACTAAGTTAATTTGATTGTTTATTTATTCGCAATTTATTATCAAAGTATAATTCAAATTTAAACAATAACATTAGAAATTATTCTTAATTGATCACATTCGTTGAATTTACCAGAATGGCCTCAAATAATCCTATTAGTCATTAATCATCAATCACCAACTTCCATGTCATGTAGAAACTAGGTAATCTATAAATATGATTTATAAGCAATATTTATCTTATCAGGTGAGGGTGCTTACAGTCAAGTATTCAAAGTCAAAAGAATATCAGATGGAGCAGAATACGCAATGAAGAAAGTAAAAATGATTAAACTTTCTGAAAGAGAAAGGCAAAATGCTGTGAACGAAGTCCGCATCTTAGCATCAATACAGCATCCAAATATCATTGCCTACAAGGAGGCATTCTTTGAGGATTCAACATCTTGTTTGTGTATTATTATGGAATACGCTGATGGTGGAGATCTTCTTAAATAAATTAATAATCACAAACGAAAGGGAACGAACTTTTCTGAGAAGGAGTCTTGGTACTATTTTATTTAAATGGTAAGAGGATTGAAGGCTCTACATGACTTAAAAATATGTCACAGAGACATTAAATGCGCCAATTTGTTTTTAACAAAAGAAGGCATCGTAAAGCTAGGTGATCTCAACGTATCAAAGGTCGCTAAAAAAGGTATGCTTCATACCCAAACAGGAACCCCTTACTACGCATCACCTGAGGTTTGGAAGGATAAGCCATATGATCATAGAAGTGATATTTGGTCACTTGGATGTGTTCTTTATGAAATGCTAACACTTAATCCACCTTTTAGAGCACCTAACATGAACGGATTATATCACAAAGTATTAAGAGGTCTTTACGATCCAGTTCCTTCAATGTACACAAAGGATCTATAATTTATGGTTCGAAATTGTCTCCAAGTTTCCCCAGTAGCGAGACCAAGTTGCGAGAAAATACTAGCAATGCCTGGACTCTTAAACCATTTAACTGGAACATTAGAAAGAATAGATGTCTCAATAGATGTAGAGAATGATGCTCTTCTCAATACTATCAAGGTACCAAAGGATCTCGGATAAATAACAGAGAGATTACCAAAACCCCAATACAATGTGATGAGAAGGATAAACAGTCTTCCTCCTGAGCAGTAAGAAGGTTTATAAGAAGATAAGGAAAATTTGATTCAGATAGCTCATAAAATGTTTGATAATCATAAGAGGATTGCAGGAGGCTTGGCAAATAATATTTATGAGGAGAGGAAAAGAAGTGTCCTTGCAACAATAGAGGAAAATGTACCTCCCTCAAGAGAATACGATAGACCAAGAGAATTTAATTATGATAACCCGAGAAGTGCTGAGCCTAACTTACAAAAAAGCAAGGCAAGAAACCTTCATAACATTGAAAAGGATGCAATAATTCATGAAACAAGAACCCCTCACTATATGAATAACCAAAAGTAAAAAGCTAGAGACTTGATATCTCACTAATCTCAGTAAAGTAATCAGGGTGTTTATTTGCCCAGAATTTAATCGACAAGAGCAAGTGAGATAACAGGAATCAATCAAAGGAGGGGAGTATATAGTAGAAATAGTCCTGATATCTAATCAACTAACAGTTCTATCTTACCTGGAATTAGAGGAGCCTAGAGCAGAAATTCTGAGAATACTAATCCAATTTATATGAATAAAGGTACAGATATTGTTCATCAATAGAAGAATTATCTTCACTAAAAGAAAATCCTTCAATAAATTTATGGAGCTTATCAAATTCCTAGTCACAGAAGACTTTAAGTCTTGAGTGAAGAACTACCAGAGTCAAGAATTCATCCTAGATATATTATATGAAACTTTTGATCTTTTTGATCAACTAATTAAGTCTTATTCAGGGTGCATGGTAGTGTCATCAACTATAAAACAATTAATTTTGCTTCTTTTTTGATTAATTATATTCATTCGAGGTATTGAATTTCTTTGATATTCAAGAATCATGGGGTTTTGGGGTTTTGGGGTTTTGGGG